ACTAGTGCGACACCTTCACTTGTGAGACTTAATCCAACAGTCTCCAATAGACTAAAATGTAAAGAATCACTCAGAACTTTCACAAAGCCTCCAAATTTGACACCCAGCTGTAAATCAATTGGATCCATGCTGTGTGGAATGCAAATGACCGTAATGTGATGAACAAAGAATCATTTGGCCTACTTAAACGCAGACCTGCATCCTGTGTGTGTGTGTGTGTACATCGCACACGCCATTGTTCAGTGGAATCTGTCTGGCCCGTATTGTCCTTGTGTGGCGGCATTGTTCGGCCCAGTCAGTTTGCGTTCCTGTGCACGTCGACGGCCATTATGCCGCCGGAGGACCGAGGGCTGTCAGATCGATCGGGGCGTTGGGGGAGGGGGGGGGGAGACAAAGAGGCAGCACCGCTTGGCTTGAAGAACGCCGCGATGGGCTGAGAAGGGGGGAAAAAGGGAGATGATGGGTACGAGAAAAGCAGAACGCGTGGACCTATCTTCTTCTAAAGGAGAGAAGTTCAACCGTTCAAATGTTCCACACTGGAGTTCCTCTCATGTCTTTATTGGTGATACTGTACAACAACTACACGTTAACCCAAGGACAAAAAAAGACAACTCATAGATACTTCAATAATACATAAAACAATAAGAAATGCAATATTGTGGTTGACTGGTGTGTCGTATTGGCAATAAGGTAAATACATGAAGCTGTTTGGACAGGATTTAGATGCATATGTCCACATAGAAGTAACTGTACTAGAATCACGGCAGAGTAACCTGTCAATCACAGTAAACACATCCTGGTGTCGTTGACGCTAATAGAGCATCATATGATCAACCAGAGATTGAGTCCACCATGTTTACGTCATGGACTTAGAGGAAGGCGGGGAGACGTGTCCATGAGAGGCAGGAGGGCCGCATGGCGTCAGAAGGCGCGCCTGCTCTACCGTATGGGGTCTAGTGTATGGGGTCTACTCTATGGGGTCTACTATATGGGGTCTAGTGTATGGGGTCTACTCTATGGGGTCTACTGTATAGGGTCTACTGTATGAGGTCTACTGTATAGGGTCTACTGTATGGGGTCTACTGTATGGGGTCTACTACTGTATGGGGTCTACTGTATGAGGTCTACTGTATGAGGTCTACTCTATGGGGTCTACTGTATGGGGTCTACTGTATGAGGTCTACTGTATGAGGTCTACTCTATGGGGTCTACTGTATGAGGTCTACTGTATGGGGTCTACTGTATGAGGTCTACTGTATGGGGTCTACTATAAGGGGTCTACTGTATGGGGTCTACTGTATGAGGTCTACTGTATGGGGTCTACTATAAGGGGTCTACTGTAGGGGGTCTACTGTATGAGGTCTACTGTATGGGGTCTACTGTATGGGGTCTACTGTATGGGGTCTACTGTATGAGGTCTACTGTATGGGGTCTACTGTATGGGGTCTACTGTATGGGGTCTACTGTATGAGGTCTACTGTATGGGACCTTTGGGGAGAGAGACAAAGGCAGCACCTGCTGTGGAGCAGCGGTGAGTCTCTCCTGAGAACATGAGATGAATGATAATAATCTGCATTAACTTTCTTGCTAAATACAGATGACAAACACGTAGAGCTCCTTGTGCGACAGATAGACTTCAGAACATGTTTATCAAACAGGCGGTGAGCCAAGGCCAAGCCAGCCATGGTTCATTGGACAACTACAAGACTTTGCCCAAATTACATGGCACAAGCCAGGCCGGTTGCCAGGCCGGTTGCCAGGCGGGCAGCTGGCATCAGCTGCGTCATTGTCTTTGATCGCGGCGAGAGGAGAAGGCTCATTCTTCTACGTCCTCTCAGCCTTCAGCTCACACGTCCGCGTCGACACCGCCAAGGAAAGAAAGTGGGGCACAAACAAGGGGGACAGTTTGGCTGGAAACGGCCGCGCCACGTCCATCGGCTCATGAGACGAGGGACTTCCTGAGGGGACGATTCCGGCCACACTATGACGTCATGTGCACACCACCTTTTATATTTCCACCATGTTTTCATGCTAACGCTAGACCCGATCCAGAGGGGCCACGTGTCACTCAAATGAGACAATAACATCACACCCGGACGTATTAAAGTGTCAATATGTCACACAGACACACCTCTCGTGCTCAGTGTGACGCATTCATGAGGAGGTTCTTTCCAGGGAACTGATAACATCAATAATAACAGTCCAGGAGACACAAGCCGACGGTTCAACCCGCGTGACTCATTTTCGCTTTCAGCTTGTGCGTTTTAACTCCGGCTCGCTTTTGTCTGCGCAACGACAAGCATAACAGGCCGCACCAAAAACCCATTCGCCAAAATGAAACGAGAAAAACGGGCTGAAGCATGCGCCAGCGATACGGAAAACAGAGACATGTAAAGACGTGCGGGGCTGCGTTAGCTAACCAGCTGCAGCTACCGCTGCATTCATGGAGATTCATCTCCCTGCCGGGAATCTGATGGACCCAGAAACGCTGACCCAGGGTCACGGGGTCACTGGAAGATTAGGACGATTGATAAGTACAGACAACTATGCCCCCCCCCCGTCCATCTTCTAGCTCCCAGCTCTCCTCACCCGTCCCTCCAGCTCCACCCTCTCTTCCCACAGTGACCTTTAGTCCACCTATTGTTCTGTAAGTGGGCCAAGAGGAACCAGCGTTTATGGAGACGGGGGCCGAGCCGGAGACTTTAGGATGCCAACCGTATGTTGCGCGGCATTAATCCTATTGTTTATTTAAGGATTATGGACGAGGACCATACGCAATGTGGACTGTTGCATTACGCCGATCGCAGTGACGGAGCTGCACCGTAACCTCCTGTTGATTTTAGCACATTGTGTCAGTGTCTCCGACCACGTCTCAGAACGTCTGGCGTCCTGCGTAAGTCATCAGCATCCGTGAACGAACCGAGGACCCTGAGAACCTCTGAGTCCTGTAAAGTGTCAGAATTCTTCACATGGAAGGTAACAAAAGCATCAAATACACTGAATATTTCATAATCAAGCTCAAAAAGGCCTAAAAAGGTGATCTACCATCTGCCATTAGCTGGAGACGCAAACCAACGGGCGGCTGATGGATCGATTCTCCAATCAGATGGTATCAGAGCGACAGCATGAAGAACCCCAGGTGGTTTTACTACAACACTGCGTGGATTCCATGATTTGGTTCATCATCGTTGTAATAATCCAAAGTCTGGGGTAAGTCAAACTGGGAAAGGGGAGGGACGTGGGGGGTGATGGGGCAGAAAGAGGGAGGGGTGGGGGCAGCAGGAGGAAGCCAGGAGGGGGGGTTTTCCAGCCATGCTTTTCTCTCAGCTCCTGGATTCATGGCTGTCAAGGGTTCGACAGAGAGACGAAAGGTCAGGGGTCACACCCCCCCCTTCCTGTCGCTGCCGGTTTGAACTGCAGTTTTGGGAGGAGAGAAGCTCCTTCGCGCTCTTCATCAAAAAACATCAAACTCGGCGGGAACAAAGGCACCAAAGCAAAGGAAAATCCCCCATTTACTAAATATTTCAGGCAGCAGATGACGTGTGCTGATGTTACAGCATCACGTCAGATATGTTACATCATTTATGCAGCCACGTTACATACAAGAAAGCTCAATCAATCTGTGATTCGCTGTATTCTGTCACGTTATTAGTGTTTTATATATCGTATATTAACATCCTTTCTTGTGATGTTTCTCAGTTTTTAGTCTCCGAGCGGCGGAACGAGTTGAGGAAAGCAGGAATCTGAGGAATGTGGGTGGTTAAAGTTCCGCAGAATCCAGATAAGTATCTTTGAAAGGTACGCCCTGACACACACACACACACACACACACACACACACACACACACACACACACACAGCGAAGTGATTCAGCGCCAAGGAACCTCGCGGAGGACGGACGGGATTCTTCTCACGGGACGCTTGGTGGACCACACTGCCTGTCCACATCGGGACCCTCGGGCCCCCTGGCGTCCCACCCCTCCCTCCCGCCGTGTCTTTGGGGGTGGGTGGAGACCAGGCGAGGGCCCCCCCCCCCCCTCCACTGAGTTGTGTATTGTCTTGGGGTCTTTTCCTCTTGTTAGCACCCTTGGCCTTTCAGTATGCCGTGCCCCCCCCTCCCCCCCCCCCTCGGTCTTTTCGGATCACTTAACAGGACAATTACTCTATCCGTCTTTTCATCGTGGCCCATTGTGTTCGGACCCTCGGTTTAGAAAAGCGTCTGTGGAGAAACCATCTCTTTCTCTTCTTTCAACTCCTGCTTCTGGTTTCTACCAGAGACGCTTTGGGTTCAGGGTCGGTAGCCGACGTCAACGTGTACGAGAGTTAAAAGCTTTCTTCTCCCCATAAGACAGTAAATGAACATTGTTCAGCTCATGCTGATAGAAGGAAGGAAAGCGGAACAGGACCAGAGGAGCACGGGGAGCTGGCTGAAGGTAACGGGACGTCCCACAGACCCCCCACTGTGAACGATCTCTCGTTGGTAGGGGGTTTGGAGAAGACGGGATCTAGAGGTTTGGGGCACAGTTGCTGCTGGAGTTTAACTCTTGATCAGGCAACCAAAGAAACGTACATCTTCTCCTCAGAACCGGAACATGAAGAGCCTGAGAGTCGCTAACAATTCCTCCCCCCTCCCCGTGGAAACACAGCACAGTGGGGGGGTCGAGATCTATTTTTCAGCATACTAGTTATCGGTATTAGATCCATGGACTGCATACAAGAAGTACGTGAGAAGTTACAGGACGTCATCCGGTTCATTCTGCGTCACATGAATAAGATATTCATGTTTTCCACCAGCTTTATTTTAAATATCCAGCGAGTGACCCGCCATCTTCATCCATCACCCTCCCTTTGTCAGGTCCATGTCTTTTCATCTGTCCCGAGTGAAGGACGGTCAGATTCCTCAGCATGGAGACCTCTGTGTGCCCTCTGGACCACATTCATCTTTCAGCTCCGCCGCCGCCGCCGCCGGGTTCACGCCCCCCCCCCCATCAGCCCGTCTCCTTCAGCCCCACCTGCTCCACCTGCATCCCGCTCGAGGTATTTGGAGGTTTGGCGGAATGCGACGCGGAACATTTAAAGCTCCGTCCTGTAACGTTGAAGCTGATCGCCGCGGAATCCGTCGCCATTGTGAGAGGGATCAATCAAGACGCGTCAACGGGATCTACAGGCCTCTATTGTGCCCGGCGGCCAGAGTGTGACCCGGGACCCCGGCCACCCCGGGGGGCAACCGAGGTGAAGGGTCACTCCCCACAGTCGGGGAGAGACGCGGCGGCGTGGAACTCTCCGTCTCCGTCTTCCTACCACGACCAGCCGATGGGTTTGGGGCGTCCTTCTCCACCAGCGTGTGGCTCACGGGTGGCCGCAGCATCTCCCAGCATGCACTTCAAGAGGATCGCCCAACGCTGGCAACGTGGCTTACAAAAAGTTAAAGGCGGTATGTGTAAAAACACCAGGGGGCGGAGTCAACTACGACTACCAAGGAACCCGCCAGTTCCCAGCAGGTGGTCCTGACTCACGGTAGACCCCCCTATAAATGCATCGATTATGAAATATTTTATTGATCACTGGGTGGAGCATGAACACAGATCGCTCTCATTGTCTGGTTTATCGATGTGTAAGGGTTCAAAATGTCTTTAATGAGAATTGAATCTGCAAAAAACATGATCTGCATTAGTTTGTCTTCTATACATGTTTTAATTATACCTCTGATTGTTTTCCTTGATGAGTTAATGAGTATCGCCCCATTAGTTCAATAAAAGGCTTCTTTATACCTGCGAGCTGCAGGACATCCTCCTCATCTCAGGGGGGAAACTGAACTACTTCCCACTCAAAATGAATGATATTTGCTTTAAAAAAAAGAGTATTATTCATTTAATACCACGTGTACCTTCTGTGGGAGTAAATACATGAAACATCTAATAGTTGACTGTCACCATCACGTGTTGTATAAAGTGGACGTGTTCTTGGTTCTATGGATCATCCGACATTCAAACAGGTTGTAACCTGATATTTGACGATTGGTGCGAAGTTGAAAACGTGGTCTTCTTTTATTCTGGCGGTCTTCGCCGGAAGTGTCGTGCTTCACGCGCACTGACGCGTCACCGCATAAAGAGGCGCAGCAGGTAAACGCGCTCCACATGGCCGGTGGGCAGAGACCCGCAGCACCTACCGGACCCCACCGAACCCAACCGGACCCCACCGGACCCCCAAAGAAAGAACCTCGGAGCCCGACCGGAAAGGAATAAACGGAGACAAACAAGGACGCATTTCACCGACGACTTGAGACACGCGTAAACTCTGCAGCCCGCAACGTGTCCAGCCAGGGGACACCCGCGTGCAGTGTCCAGCCAGGGGACATCCGCGTGCAGTGTCCAGCCAGGGGACATCCGCGTGCAGTGTCCAGCCAGGAGACGCCCGCGTGCAGTGTCCAGCCAGGAGACACCCGCGTGCAGTGTCCAGCCAGGGGACATCCGCGGGACGGACATGCGGAGCGGCTGAGACTTCAGCGGCCGTCAGCTGATAAGACGCTCGTCCCGCGACTCGTCCCCCCCCCCCCCAAAGAGACACAAAGGACGCATGGATCCCCGGCTGCTGTGCTGCGAAGGGGACCGGCCCCCCACCCGCAGGGCCTACCGGGACCCCAACCTGCTCCAGCAGCGCGTCCTGCACGCGCTGCTGGAGCAGGAGGACCGGTACCTCCCCGCGGCCAACTACTTCAAATGCGTGCAGAGGGACGTCGCCCCGCACATGCGGAGGATCGTGGCCACCTGGATGCTGGAGGTGAGTCCGGGACCGGGGGCGGGAAAAAAAAAAAGGCACCGACGGTAACGCGTCCCCGTGTGTGCGTGGAACCGCGCGCGCACGGGGACGCACGGGGACGCACGGGGACGGGGATGCACGACGTGCCGTTTTGTGTGTCCGGGCTGCGCGCGAGAGACTCTGTCCATTAACTGCTCATCCCACTGCTCCCATTACTCCCATTACTCCCACTGCTCCCATTACTCCCATTACTCCCATTGCTCCCACTGCTGCAGATCAGCCGTGTGCCGTCAGCATGAAACGGTCACACGTTGCGTCTCCTGACTCACTTTCTCGCTTCTCCTGCAAACGAGACATTTTAGGGACGACTTGATGGGACTTTGTTTCCTCACTGGGAGATTTTCATTTAATGATGGAAACCGATACGACGATGAACCGAAGCAGTGACTCGTCTACCAACACTAGTTAATTCCCTTGTCTGCCTACGTGACATCAAAGCGGTAGTTTGACCTCACTGCCGATATCAGACGGTCAGATCGTACGTGTGAAGTTTTGAAGACAATGGACTTTCACTTTTGTCTCTGTTGCATTTGTCACAAAAAGCGCCTCCTCGCTCGTTGGTGCCGGCGAGGGAACCCGGGTGGTTCCCATCGGTGTGCGTTTTTGGCACTGATTTTGTCCGGGTTTGCGCGCGCAGGTGTGCGAGGAGCAGAAATGCGAGGAGGAGGTCTTCCCGCTGGCCGTGAACTACGTGGACCGCTTCCTGTCGGTGGAGCCCACCAAGAAGAGCCGCCTGCAGGTCCTGGGAGCCGCCTGCATGTTCCTGGCGTCCAAGCTGAAGGAGACGATCCCTCTGACCGCGGAGAAGCTCTGCGTCTACACCGACAACTCCGTCACGCCCGCCCAGCTGCTGGTAGGTGCCTACAACCGCTGAGCGCGTAAGTAGAGGATCAGCGTTCTTCTGTTCAGCAGCATTTAGTACCATCTGTGTGGGTTTTAGGGTCCCGGGGGACCTGAAGGTCTTTGTATTCTCGGTAGAACTTCCACAAACCGAGTGGCCACCAGTTACTGCCCAAACCGAGCTCTAAAGAGCGCGCCGACTTTTTGAGGTCTTTGAATCTAAGCCGTGGCGAGCGAACAAATGGATAAATAACATTACTGCATGCAGGGATCCTTCGTTATCTCGATGACATCAACCGTTTACTCGACCAACTTTAGGACGTTTTTATTATTCAGGCAACGTTAAAAGAATAAGGGGTATTGATCACGTACGTTTCCTCTGTAGACGAACACTCGTCACGCCGGTGATTTTGTGGCGGTCTGTATTTGCGACCCGGGCCCTTCGTGGCGCCCTCGCACCAGTTCAAGTGTTCAAAGTCTGCTTCGTCACGATGTCCCACTGAGGACGTTCCTGGTCCCCAGAAGAGTTTCCCTAAATGGGTTTTTTTCGCGACCCGCTGACCTTTCCTGATCTCGTCTTAATCCCTGGAACCGGCTGTCTGATCACACTTGAACCTGTCCTTCTGTCACCCCCCCCCCCCCCCTCTCCCCCATCTCCCCCACAGCAAATGGAGCTGCTGGTTCTGAACAAGCTGAAGTGGGACCTGGCCTCGGTGACCCCCCTCGACTTCATCGACCATTTCCTGTCTCAGCTGCCCGTCCCGAAGGAGAGCGGGCCGATCCTGAGGAAGCACGCTCAGACCTTCGTAGCGCTGTGTGCCACAGGTACGCGCGTGGTTTCCCCCGTACGACCGCCTCCTCCTCCTCCTCGCGCTCCTCAAAGCGCGGCGCCATGACGTTCTGAGCTGTGTGCCCCGATGCTCTGCAGACGCGAAGTTCGCGGCCAGCCCCGCGTCCATGATCGCGGCGGGCAGCATGGCGGCGGCGGTGGAGGGCCTGCGGGCGAGGATGTCGGGGGATGCCGCGACGTCGCCGACGGAGCAGCTGGCGCGGATCATCCGGAGTGACCCGGTGGGTGCGCCCGGTCCGTGGCCTCCCTCGTGCGCGAGGACACGTGGTCTCTGCCTCACTCTCCCTCCCCCCTCCCTCCCCCTCTCTCTCTAGGACTGCCTCCGGGCTTGTCAGGAGCAAATCGAGTCTCTGCTGGAAACCAGCCTCCGACAGGCGCAGCGGCCTCGGCACTCGGTCGCCGTGGAAACCAGGAAAATCGCCGAGGGGCAGGACCTCTCGACGACGCCCACAGATGTCCGGGACGTCGACGTCTGAGCGCCGCGGGGGTGGCGAGGACGGAAGAGGACGGTGGGACCGCAAGCAACTGGGCGAGACGGCGCGTCAGCGGACATCCAGGGGCGTTGACCGCTGGACTTCAGAGACACCGACAGGACGGCCGTCACGTCTCCGGTGTGGCTCCTCCCCCCCCCCCCCCCCCGGCGGTCATGGACGGGACTGGAACTTCTCCCTGTATTTATCACCGGACTCCATATTCTTAACGTAGAGCGGTAGTTTGCTGTAGTGGAGGAATGAGGTGGATTCATGAAGCCAAAAAGCGTCACATGGAAACCAAAACGTGGTACGTTTGGACAGACGCTTAAAACAACGTTCTTATTGTGTGGCCTTTTTGAAATGGCTTATTTGCATGTTTTTCATTGATTACTGTTTGATAAACACTGGCCCTGTTTAACATGTGATCTTGTGAGCTGTCGTCTTACGTTCCCTTCGTGAAGTACGAGGATCTTGTCTGTAAACTGCAGCTGTGACGGATGCGATGTGGTGCTCGCGTCGCTGCACTAGAGGGCGCTGTGGTATTAGCTGATTTTTGTAATCTAAGGGATCAGGTATTCTACTTGTATTTATTGCATATCGCTCAACCGAAACGCTACAAGTTTTGTTCTGAAGGAGAAAGAAAGTCTGTTTATGGATTCAGCTACTTAATTAACTCAAAGGTACAAAACGTTGTGATTCTTGAAGCCTCGTCAAACTGACACAAGCTTGTGTCTGGTTGTTGTCCATGTTGGTGATGTGCGTCGATGAATTAAACTGGTCGCCCTGATGCACCCTGATGGTCATGTGTTCATTTAATTGTCTCTTCACTGACTCGATTTGCTCAAGAGTTCAACAGAACTCCGACCGTTTGGATTTATTCTGCTCACCGCTGTGGTTCGGCTGCAGTGAGCAGAAGCTAAGCTAACCCATTAGCGGCGTTTCCTTCCATCCATACAGCGGCTTAGCCTTCTGCTCACCTGTTGGTACCGAACGTCTACGTTTGTTCGGGCCGTTCCTGCGGCGTGAGCGTTGAATCGTTGCGTCATCTCAAAGGTTCGTTCGTGGTACATTTGTGACGTGCCAACAGCCACGAGGCGCCTTGTCCTCAGTTTAACGCCACGACGTCGCTACTAATCGGTGCTGTAAGTCGTGTGAACTGCAGCTGCAATTTGACCTCACTGACTTCTTCCTTAAGGAAGTCAGTGAGGTCAAATTGCAATCCTGTGAAATTTGATTCCAGAGATTGCTGTGTCACGCACACACACACACACACCAGGCCGCGTCATGTGACTCACACGGCAGAAAACTACTGGGGAAGGAAAGTGAGACTTGAGCCCAACGAGTTTACAGAGAATAACACGGCGTGTTTCTGCTCGGCTGAAGACTCAAACATCTGCAGGAGCACGACTGCTGCTTTTGGTTTGTGCGAAACAACGTGACGCCGTCTGCTGTCATCTGGTCGGGGTGCCCGTCAATTTATTGAACAGAGGTCTTCAACCGGGGGTTGGCACCCCCCCCCCCCCATTTTTGGTTGATCACCAAAAGTCTTCAGAATCAGAATCGTATTTATTGTCTTTAAACACGAATCCAACACATTGAAAGACAACGTCTCCGCCATCAATTTACCCGTTTCTACAGTCTCACGCTGATACGACGTCACAGGCACCAGCCAACCAGACGCTCACGTCTAAAGAGGGCGGAGCTCAAGACAAAAAAGATGGCGGACCAAACTCCGTAGAATAGGGGGTCCTTGCTCCAATCTCGCCATCAGTTTGGCGGGTCCTTGGCCTGAAATCGTTGGAGACTCGTGTGGTGAACCGTTATTCTGACCATCTGATCACTGCTACACGACCCTGACCTGGACCTCTCAGGATCAGCGTTTACACCGTGACCATGACATCGCGATCCGTTCTGGCTGGTGACGCCACTCGCGGTCTTTGCCCCCCCCCCCGGGTCTTCAGACCGAACGGGGACCTGAAATCAAGGTGTGTTTTCCAGGCTCAGGGTCTTGTGGTGGATAAAGGAACCGTCAGACTTTTGACTTTAGTCAAAGTAGTGTGACATACGGTAATGAAATGATGAGGCATTTAAGCCACCTGTCGAGACCAGCGTGCAACCGTCACCTACAAAGACCTGTTCGGTGGTTGTAAATACACGTATGTTATGAGCTACGAGGGCCGGCGGGGTTTTCTCTTGTCAGTGCCGCCGGTCGACAGTTGAAACGACATCGGAGAATTGTGATACCGGGCTTTTAATGCCTCACTGATCGTGCTGCTGCGTCCAAGTACCAACTCACGCATTCTGCAGACGCACCTCGGAAGATCAGGGAACATCTGCACCTTTGGTAAACATCACTTTCCAAAGCTGCATCGTCATGGGTGAAATGCTAACAGGTTTGTCAGTGAACAAACCCTTTCACTTCTTCTTTGGCTCGGTTTCAACACCCTCCCCCCCTCCCCCTCCCCCCCCAAACCCGTTCTTCTTCTGTTGTTGCTTTCTCAGTATCTGCTTTCTCCTTCTCTCGGCGGATTACTGGAACTATGGGGGGTCTCTGCACCCCCCAAAGTTCCAGTCCAAATCCCTGCTCCCCCCTTTGCCGACGGCCATCAGACCCTCTCTCTCCCCCTTTGTTTCCTCCCCCCACTATCCTCCATCCCTTCCTGCCTCAACCTCCTTCCTTCTGCTTCCTAATGAACCTCATAAAACGTGTTTATTCGCTCGCTCGCTGCTCCTAAACAAACAAGACAACAAAAAACATCAGCGACGCGACTCGAGGGAGAAAGCTGAAAGGTCACAATGTTGTCCAATCACAGTCCCGACTTAATAACATGAGCTGCCCGCGTTCACGTTGAACTTCCTCTTGTTCTCCTTTTGCTGAGCAGTCGACGAGCTTCACAGGAGCAACGTTGTAATTGCAAAATGAACCCAGGAGGAATTCGTCATGGCTCGTTAAAAAAAAAGATTTACGCATAACTTGACATGACGAACAACTGCAACCGGTTGCTGTCGTTCTACACGTCTAGACGACGAATTACGCACAGCTCCACCTGCCGAAAGCACCTTTTGTCTGTAAAACCCAAACAAGCCGCCAAAAGAGGCCCGAAGGCGCCTCAGAGACTCACTATGCAGAACAGAACCACCACAGTCATCGGTGTTTGGATTCATTCATAGATGAAACACGTTGAGGTAATACGACGGAACTACACGTCCATTTATATCCTCTCCTGGTTCACAAATACATTTCAACAAGCAAGCCAAGAAAAGATGTCTCCCCCCCCCGCGAGGACGCTGCTGTCCTCTGCCGTCCGTGTCCTCGTTTCTTTCCTTTCTGGCGGTGTGGTAACTTTGTGGCTCTGACGCTGCGGTGAGCTGTTCACACGCCGACAGTCTTGACGTCGCTGCACATTTGGAAACCCTGTCGCCGGTGCATCGTATCCTGCGCAGCCGGAATGACCACATTTTTTGAAGTGATTGCTAAACGCGCCGTCGCAAGACAACGGCTTAGAGGCGTCTGGCAGCTCCTGTTCTGAGTGGGACAGGAACCAGTGGCGAGTCTTTCAACACAGTCCACCCGACATGCAGGAGGGCCAGAGTCCTTCCTCCTGGTACACACCTATATAAAGTGCATGACGCACCCGGGCTGCAGCACACAGACACACACAGACAGACAGGGAGACGAGTCAGGCGGCTCTGGAGTGACAGCTGATCCGCAGACATGGCAGAGAGGCTGAAGGGCAACGTTCTGGTGACCGGGGCCAACAGGGGCATCGGCCTGGAGCTGGTCCAGCAGCTGGCAGAGACCACGGGACACCGGGCTCACGTCTACGCCTGCTGCCGAGCGCCTGAGGGAACCGGGGCTGAGGTGAGACGCCTCCACGGGAGGGCTTATCGTAGCACTGCTATAGACAGCTAACACACACGTCCACTGTGTGTGTGTGCGTGTGTGTGTGTGTGTGTGTGTGTGTGTGTGTGTGTGTGTGTGTGCGCTACTAACAGGAGTATGGGATTGATTTATCGTCTCTCCTTGAGGTTTTGACCCTGGACCCACGCAGACAAGAAACAGCTTTTAAATACAGCCAATTATTGAATAACCTTCTACCTGTATGCGGTTGGAAGGACTGTCCGGGGACGGTTGACCGTGTTGGACCCTCCCCCTCCGCACCAAACAGACCTACATGGCCTTGGGAGGATCTTTATTTTTGTTCAAGTGAATTTGATGGCCGCATCTCATGTCAAGACCAATGTGCATTTTTTCCCCCCAGAAAGCAGCAAATTCCAATTTCTACAGATTCCTCTATCGTCCGTCCGATCGGGTGGCTTCAGGGGGGTCGTGGAGATCATCTGCTTCGGCCCGTACGGCCGATGACTCTCTGAATGGTTCACAAGGCGATTGTGAAACGGGATTTCATTTAGTTTGTTGCGATGCACAGCTGTAATAGGGAGGAGTTCAGGGTTAAATACACATCTGGTTAATAAGTGACAAGTAAGAACAAAGTGGCTTTGACTCGATAACCACAGCGAGATTTGTGTTGGAATAAGTACCGATGACGTCATTGGGAGACTTTTGTTGATATAATATGAACACGTCAGTGTGAATATGATGAGACTGAAGACTGTTTGCACACCGATAATTCAAATGATGGGAATCTCTGCATGATCATCTCGACTGAACTGGTGATAAATGTTGATGATGTGTGATATTTGGGTTGGAACGCAGGAAGTGTAACTTTGGACGCCTCGCGGTCTGAGCGTGCGGTGGGCCGTGCGGGAGGTCCGTCAGGGATCCGTTCTCACAACAACATCATCAGCTACGAGTCAACGAGTCGCCACGTTGTCCTTCGGGGGAAAGACGATGATCCACTGGGACATTGTAAAGGTGTAAAGGTCTCTTCTCTCAAAGTCATTGTCCAAAACAAGTCGGTTCGATTGCGCTCTGGTCTTTAATACAGCACGATGTCACTCAGGGATGTTGATGCTCAGCTGAATATTCTCTGCTCACAATTCACTGGTACGTCGTTTAAAACAAGTTGGAAAGTCCCCCGATGGACTAACGGCACGTTCACCACAACATCGCCTCCTTTCATTCAACCTGCGTTCGCTCCACTGTGTCTTTAAGGGAGCGGCGTTATCGAGGTGATTAGCAGATACCGGTTTAATCTCTGTGTCCAGTACAGTAAAGTCCAGGACGTGTTTAGCCTGCTTTCATAGAAACAAAAAAGATAAAGGGGCCCTGCAAGTTTCTGTTAACCTTTATTGTTCCCATGTGCTGAAAACATTGTGCATTGCTGGTGTTGTTGACGTGACATAAAACAGAGACCAGCTCGCCAAACATTACTCGACTGAAACATGCAAAAGGACATTGAGAACATTGTTGTGTTTGGACTACTTGCCCTCTTTGTCCGTCTCCTCCCAGCGTCTGTTTGTCTTTCATTCTTCATGTTTCCCTCCTTGCACGTGTTCCCTTCAGGCCCTGAGAGACCTTACAACTCAATATCCTGGAAAAATCACCATACTGAAACTAGGTAAACACCGCCTCATGTACTGTATCTGTGTGCGCCGATGTATCACAAAGCCCTGGAGGAGTAATGGGGAAGGAAAACTTTCCCCCGGTGTCATTTCCCTGTAACTTTAGCAGCCCGGTGTTCAGGGGAACACAGACTTTCCTCCAGGCAGTAACGTTACGTTTTGGGGTTTGGGAACGTTGACGTTCATTGATTATTATGCTCTGCAGAAACTCACTGTGCAAACATCCATTCGTGCAACAATCATTCTGTGTGAATCATGATCCGATTGCTGAAATGTGCCGAATCAAAGCAGCAAACAAGCAGGAAGGATCGTAGAATCATACAACATGTAGAAAAGAAGAAGCGTTATTTAGCTAGATCGTCGTACTGAAGGCAGTTATAGGGGCGATCCACCCTTGTGGTCCTTGCGGTGCAGACGGGAGGTTGTGCGTTGTGTTGTCAGCAGGCCTGTGTTGACCCAGCATATCAGCACGGCCATCTTCTGCAAAGCAGCCTTTAGAACGGCAGGACCCCCCCCCCCCGAGCCCCCGCCGGGCTCATGCAAGACCATTCGTGAATCATTATCCAAACCTCTTACCTGTTCTGTGCTATTAGTAGATTAGTACATGTGTGTGATTCTCAGACGTCTTTGTAATTCATGTGTCCATGTCTTATGCTTCAACAATTCTACAACAAAATGGGACCTTCTTGAGAAACAAAATGATCCGACATCAAACGTGTAATTCAGGCTGAAGTTCAAACTGGACGGTGGCTGAGGCGGGAATATTCGTTTTGCATTCTGCAGACGCGTCGGACGAGGACAGCGTATCAGCCGCCTTCCAGGCCTTGAACGAGCGGATCGGGGCCGACGGCCTGAACCTCCTCATTAACAACGCTGGCATCAACCAACCGGGCATGCCGGGATCGCTGTCTGCCACCGGGAAAAAGGACATGATGCAGGTGTACGAAACCAACGTGGTCGGACCGTTTCTCATCGCCAAGGTTGGTTCAGTCTCTCTCTGTGCGTTTCGTGTCGACGTTTCACAATTAGAGATGATTGACAGACGGACTCCGACGCAGGATCACATGCCTGTTGAATTACCAGAGGGGACGGGCCAGCTAGCTAGCTAGCTGGTTAGCATGCTCACGCTCTACACATAGACTTCCCACGTTCGGGTAACATCATATACGTCTTAGATTCGGATCTTTACTCGTTGCAGCTGCCACACAAGTAGACACTCACTCCATCGCCTCTCTCTCTCCAGATGTTTCTTCCACTCCTCCAGAGAGCCGCAGAAATGGACTCGCCTGAAAAGGAGGGTAATGAAGTGCAATCCGCTAACTGTCATTTATGCATAAAGACACAAAAGTCAATACACATGAGACATATCAGGAATATATCTTATTTTTGGTAGTAGTAGCAGTACTAGTAGTACTCATTTGTCATGTCGCCTTTCTCTTTGTCACAGGTGATCAGGTGATGTCCTGCAGAAGGTCGGCCATCATCAACATGTCCACGCTTGTCTCATCCATAGAGAAATGCCCAGAGACCTTTGCACGGGCGCAGATGTACGCTTACAGGGCCAGCAAGGTACTGCTCCACCTCACAAGGTCTACCTGAGACACGGGAGCCTCCTCCGTTGGGGGGGACCTGATCCCAGAGGGGCCAGACGTCTCACCAAAGCTTCTGTCCTTTTTGCTGTTGGTTGCCAGGCAGCGCTGAACATGGTGACTCGCTGTCAGTCGGAGGACTTCAAGAGACACAACATACTGGTGACCGCCATCCACCCTGGCTGGGTCCGCACTGGGATGGGAGGGGAGGAGGTGAGCTGTTCTCGTGCGTTACAAGCTGTCCTGCAGGTTTGTGTGCGGAAAGAAGAGCTCGGACGCGCTGTTCTCTGCCCCAGATGTTTTCAGGTTGAACCGGCTCCACTCTTTGCACGGCTGCTCCCAGTATCAGCCGGCGATTGTTACTTACATACAAAAGATATGCACAGGCCTTTGTTCTGAATCGGATGAGTAC